GCCCAGCGGCGACCACGCGCGCCGCAGCTGCTCCGGGAGGCTCTGTGTACTGCGCCTGCCACGAAATCTACACTCCAGGTCCACAGAGTGCTGTGCCTGCCACAAAATCTCCCTTCCAGGTTAGATGAGTGGTGTAACATGGGTGGCGTGAGATAGGTGGTGTAAGATAGGTGGTGTGAGTTCAACGGTGTAAGATGAGTGTGAGTTCAATGGTGTAAGATGAGTGGTGTAAGATGGGTGGTGTGAGTTCGGTGGTGCAAGATAGGTGGTGTCAGATGGGTGGTGAGACAGGTGGTGTTAGATAGGTGGTGTGAGATGAGTGGTGTAAGATGAGTGGTGTGAGATAGGTGATGTAGGGTGAGTGGTGTAAGATGAGTGGTGTGAGACGGGTAGTGTGAGATGAGTAGTGTGAGATGGGTGGTGTAGGATGGGTGGTGCAAGATAGGTGGTGTGAGTTGAGTGGTGTAAGATGAGTGGTGTGAGATGGGTAGTGTGAGATGAGTAGTGTGAGATGGGTGGTGTATGATGGGTGGTGTAAGATAGGTGGTGTAAGGTGAGTGGTGTAAGATAGGTGGTAAGATGAGTGGTGTGATATGGGTAGTGTGAGATGGGCGGTGTAAGACGGATGATGTAAGATAGGTGGTGTAAGATGAGCGGCGGGCGGCGGAGGAGGCGGCGGACGCGGAGCGGCGGGTGCAGAGCGAAAAACAAGAACCCCACATAGTGATGTGGGGAAAAGCAACTGCTTTGTGACTCCTGGTATGCATGAATATATGCCATGCCTAGACCCCTGAAACCACCCCAGTGTATACAAGTAAAGATGGGACACATGGAGTGTTTGGGAGGGGACGTTGGGGAGATCAAGATTTAGGAATCTGTAGGTGCTTGTTGGATTAGCATAGGAACACATTCTATCATGTATGTCCTCCAGGATTTTGTTTCTTTAGGAAGGCTGGCTTTACCCTCACGTGAAGGCTGCAGCTCCTGGACTGGAGTGCGGTCTACCGAAGAAAACTGAAGGCACCGACTCCATCTCTTGCCAGGACTCTCCCATGGAGTGTTTGGATAAATCCATCTTTGTTCCAGGATGGATTTTCAATTTTTCAGGGTTTTTTCCAGGGGTCATGACTCATCGTGAAGAGTGAGACCAGAGTGAGACCCTTCCAAAGTTGGAAACCCTGCCATTTCTGCGGGCGAACCCGAGCGCTCCAATCAGCCCTACATGCCTATCGGGTCCTGGACGCCCGCTCCGCTCATGCCTATGGGCTCTAGGTGAGAGGACATGGGCTCTGCTGAACGGAGTTGACAAAGCCAAAACAACAGAAGACCGAAACGCTTCAGACCAGCTTCAGAGCAGACGTCAGGCTATTTTTGGGCCCGGTGCTGGAAAGAAGAACTCCCAGTGTGTGGGTAAAATGAGTCAAGTCCCAGAAGTTCCGGGCATGGACGAAGTCTGCTTGCTACGATGGTAGAACAGCCATGGTCATGATCCGACTTTCGGTGCTGCAGGTGAATGGCGAGAAGATCTGGCTCGAAGTTACGCCAGAGACGACAGGTCGAGAGCTGAAGCAGCAGATCAAAGAGATGGCAGGTCGGACCTGGGCCGAGGAGACTCGCCGAACGACTGTGGTGGAGATGATCGTTGGGGACCGATTGCTGTGCAATGATGAGAAGGTGGCAGATGCAGGGCTCGCTGCTGCTGTCGTGAGTGTTGTCTTCAAACCGAACTCTGTGAGATGCTCCAACAAAGGTGCCATCGTTTTGGCCGAAGAGCATGGCCAGCTGGACCGGGAGGTGTTGCTTGCGGTGGAAATCCCACAGGATGAAAGGGCCATTTCTGAGAGAGCCTTCCAAGAGTGCAAACGGATGGGCAAATTGACCATCCCCGACTCGGTGACTCACATCTGGGATTATGCCTTCCGGGAGTGCAGTTCTTTGGCGATGTTGACCATCCCCAACTCAGTCACTCACATCGAAAAAGGTGCCTTTCTGAATTGCAGGTCTTTGGCGAGCTTGACCATTCCAAACTCAGTGACCCACATTGGGAATTTTGCCTTTGAGGGTTGCACATCATTAGCCAGCCTGACCATCCCAGACTCGGTGACACACATTGGGCATGGTGCCTTTGAAAATTGCAGTTCATTGGTGAGCATGACCATCCCTAACTCAGTCACCCACATTGGGGATCATGCCTTTGCAAGGTGCACGTCGTTGGCGAGCTTTACCATTCCAGACTCTGTGACCCACATTCAGAAGGGTGCCTTTCGGAATTGCATCTTCTTGGCCATGTTGACCATCCCGAACTCGGTGACTTACATAGGGGACAATGCCTTTGAAAATTGCAGTTCTTTGGCGAACGTGTATATCCCGGAGTCAGTGACCCGCATCGGAAGAAGCGCGTTTGAGAGTTGCACTTCCTTAGTGAACTTAACCATTCCGGACTCTGTGACCCACATCGGGAAATGTGCCTTTTGGAACTGCAGCTCCTTGGCCAGCTTGGCTATTCCGAATTCAGTGATCGAGATTGGCGAAGAGGCGTTTGAGCAATGCAGATCTTTAGTGTTGACAGTGTCCTGGGCGAGGTTTGAAAGGAAGGCCTTGCAAGGATGCAAAAAAGTCATAGAACTTGATTGTGCCTGTGAAACACTCCATTGCAGCTGGCTAACGTCTGGCTGGGCTTGTTCTCAACAGTGACCGGCTCTACGGAGAAAAGGCTGAGTTTCGCTGATGGCGAAGAGCTTCGCCACGTGATTTAGCTCGATTTTGATGAAGTCATGAGATGAGTTCCTTATGGCATGATACTTTGTGTGTGAATTTGTGCTGAACGCCCTGCTTGGTTTAAAACACAAAACAAAACAAACAGTAAAAAATAAACAACGCAGAAAACATCTGCGGGTTCCGCCCCCTTTATAGGGCGCGGGTTGCTTGTTCCGCCCCCCCCTGCTTCGACGCTCCGAGGAGTTGCTGCAGGACGCACGCATCCGGCTCACCAAGTGCTCGGACAAGGCGGGCTCCACGCCGATGCCGGGTCTCACTGACATGAACCGAAGTGTTCCACCCAAAGCATCCGCGACTGCAAGGTATACGTTCTGTGAACGATTTGTTTGTCAACTTATCACTGGTGTCTTGGCATCTAGAGAAACGCATCCGTGGCCTAGCTTTTACGACTATCTACTGCAAACCAGCCAACAACGAACATATCATGTTCATTCATTTTCCCATACACAGACAGAGCCCAAATGTGTCGCAACTCAAGAATCTAAGAAAGGGTTCGGACTGGGAGCAAACGCGCATCCTTTTATTTTTGTGTTGTAACTTGTCAAAACAAGTTGGGGACCAACAAAAAGGGTAGGGGGCTCAAAAAGCGATAGGTAGGTTTTTGTTTACTTTTTCAAAAGAAGGGCGGTCAAACAAAAAAGGTTGGGAGCCAAAAAGTGGTCGTCAGAAAATAACGGATGGTGTTGTCAAAACAAGGTGTGTCAATTGAACAGTTTTTGTGGTCCCAAAAGAGTATCCAAAAAAGGGTTGGGGTGAGAAAACGAATCCCTGGCCCTTTAACATGGGTTTTTAGCATGGTTGACCTGGATGTTGTAGTGCAACGTCCATAGTAAAACAGTTGTTCGGGATTCGGGCATCAATGGTGGTGGTCGAAGCCTAAGGTAGATCCTCTTCTTGTGGTGTTTTTTTTCCCTGTTCCCCTTTCCTTTGGAGGTGTCAATGCATGCATTTGGAGGCCCTCACCCTAAGAATCAAGGAGCCTCGGTTCGGTCGAAGGTTTTGAGACTTCGTTCGCCCCTGCGTTCCGCGGGGTCAGGTCATTCTCCAGTGAGGGTGAGGGTCCAATGATGGTGAGCGGGAGTCGGCAACAACCGATGGTCCATTGCCCTCCTGTTCCACATCTGCGCCTTGCAACCGACCCCCTGGAGATGCCTCGAGACGGTTTTCTTCGACAGCCACTGGAAGGTCAGCTTGTCAATGTGCTGAACTACAACGAACGACAAGAAACAGTGCATGAATCTGTATGAAAGGTCATTGTTATGACATGTTTAACTATACTGTAAAGTGTTTGGATTCTACATACTAGATTTGCCAACTGTGCAACATTTATCCATATTTCTCCCAAGCCAACCCAATTCGGCAGAAATGTTGCATCGTTGGATGATCCAGCGGGTTTTGTTTTTAGGAAGGTTCCTTTCCTCTTGGCCTTTTGCTGTCGGGATACCCCAAATGTGCAACCAATGGTTATATGGATGTGGTACCAAATCGGCCCTTCTTCACCATTTCCCCAATAGACCAATCACAAGCAGGGTGTTTCATATTATATCTGAAATCAGGTCATTACCACCCTGCAGTCACGACGGCGGTGGTCGTCATGGTTTGGGCAGAAGCCCGTCATGATTCCTGGCCCATCATATGGTTTGCTGTATAATGGTTTTTGTAACAGAAAGAACTAGTTTTACCTGTGTGTTCAAGCGAACCACATTTGGACACCACCCGTGTCGCAGGGAATGGTCCAGGTGCTAATGGCCCTGTACTACGGATTTTAGAACACTTTAGATTACAAAATCATCTGGTCAACGTTGCTTTTCATTGGCTTGGAAGGCTATAGGTGAATGACGGGATGTCATTGATATAATCCACAAGCATTGAAACCCGCTCTGGTGTCCAACAACAGATGCACCATTCGCTCGGAACACGAAGCCCAGCTATACCTTTACTTCCTGCCTGGTTCGATGAAAGGGCCACCTTCGAATCTCTCCGACCACCTGGGCCGAAGCAAAGATCTGAAAACGAACATCAGATTCAGATGGTCTCTACCTGGCCATCCCAGACAGGATGGTCCTGGTATCGTTTGGAATACTATACCCAGACACGACTAATGGGACTGGCATATGCTCCATACATTGACCCCTTTTCAACCACCCCCAATGTAGGTAAATATGCCAGTTTTATGGAGTGTTTGGGTATAGTATTCCAAAAGATACCAGGATGTAAAGGCCATCCAGAATGTATCAGATGCTATCTAACCAACAGAGATGGGTCATGACCCGGTCACGTTCGACGAACTACCCCAGTTGGGTACTCCAGTGCGGTCGCAGTGCAGGTCACTTAGACCTCTCTTGACCCATGCCGACCTGTATGCCGACCCGCTCAGCCCGCAGGCACAGCTCACGGCGGCGGTGTGGCGCTCGGGAACCCGGGCTGATGGAGATCCGCGTGGAATGCTCTCTGCGGCTTTCCAAAAGGGTCATCCAATAAACACCACTAGTCTCTAGGGGTGGCCCCCCCCCCAAAACCATTCAACATAGATGTAGGTTTTCCTTTCCTTCTGCCCCCAAAAACAGATGGGTTTTGGTGCGTGTGAAGTCGAAGAGATGTCTCCTGGGACACTGATCCGGGCCGGCAGGGCCGCAGGTGCTCGGTATGGGGGATCGAAGGCACCGGGGAAGGTGAAGACGGTGGCGACAGCAGGTGAGGTCAGAGGACTGGATGTCAAAAGCATAGGGGTGGATAAGCCATGATAAGCCATGATAAGCCTTCACCAGTGATTCTCTGACTTGTTCAAAGCCGCTTCTATAGTACTTCGAAGTCTGGTGGGGCCAAGCGCTGGAGAGCTGATCAGGTGAGATGGGTTCTTGTCCCGGACCAAATATCCTCCAAACTCGGGGGGGGTAGTACGTAGTTGTTTTTTTTTTCTCGGGGCTTCCTGGACGGCCAATCCGCTCTGAGGTCAAGTCAGTGTGTCTTGTGCTCCAAACCCGGCCTCCGCAGCGTGCTGGGTCGGGTCCTCCGTCGTCCGACGTGGCGTGCTGGGTCCGATCCTGGTGAGGTTGGGAAAAGCTGGATGAACGAGATCCACACCGATACTGGGCGACTTGGACGAATGCGACCCAAACGGGTGGGGGTGGGGGGAAGACCCCTCACAACGACTTGTGGAGCACGGGCACGGTGGGAAGAAGGTCTCAGACCATGTCGTCGACCGACTCACCGACCATGTCCACCATGTCGTCGACGTGGAGGCGTTCTCGATCCTCGACCCAGACGCGACCGCCCTCATATGGAGGGGTCTGGGGTCTGAATTCCTTAGGTTTTGAGGGACCAAGGGCTGTTTGGAGCGTCTGGGTAGGGCCAGTGATCTTCAGGTCGTGAGAAGTGGGGCCCATCACCTTAGGGCCCATCTGACGGATGCGTGCGAACTCCGAAATCCTCCTAGATCGGGCGTGGGAACTCCGTGGGTTTCGAACGGAAAACCAAGGAATCGAGGTGAACCGGCCGATCGGATCATCAGCTGGGAGATCTCCGGAGATATCCAGTCGTCCAGAGCACTAAGTTCTCACAGTTTTCTACCAGCACCCTCCAACAGGTCTCCGAAATGGAGGGTTGTTAGGCCCTAACAGGTTCGAATTGGTGACCTGTGAAGTCGGGTGCTGGTAGATATTTTCTTTTTCGACCTGTTTCTTCCATGATCGGTGTCCAAATCACCTGTCCACTGAAGCCAGGATTCCATGTCATGCTCACGAAACGAAGAGTGTTCTTCACGGTCATAGCCAGCAGTGACCTCTACTCCAAAACAATCCTAATCCGTATAGTCTTTGAGCCATGGCGACAAAGATTTCAGCGCTGCAGCCAAGTGGTGAAGTCCTAGTTCTTGAAGTCACGCCAGAAACAACAGGCCGCTTGCTCAAGCAGCAGATCAAGGAAGGACAGCACTGGGACGAACTCACTCGCAGCACTACAAGTGTGGAGATCATTGTCGGAGACAACCAATTGCTGGCCAACGATTCAAAAGTATTGGACGGTGGAATTGCTGAAGATACTGTTGTGAGTGTTGTTTTCAAACCAAACAAAGTGACATGCTCCAACAAAGACGCGATCGCCAGTCTTGGTGGTATTGTTGACTCGGAACTGTTCTTTGTGGTCGAAATTCCTGACGATGAAACACAAATTCTCGAAAACGCTTTCCAAGGCTGCAGCACCATAGCAAAGCTGAACATCCCAAACTCAGTGACCCACATCGGGGGTTCTGCCTTTGCAGATTGCAGTGCTTTGGCGAGCTTGACCATCCCGAACTCTGTGATCGATATTGGAAATTGTGCCTTTCTGAATTGCAGCTCTTTGGTAAACTTGTTCATCCCGAACTCAGTGACCAAGATTGGGACTTGCGCCTTTGCTCATTGCAGGTCTTTGGTAGGAGTGACCATCCCAAACTCAATGACCCACATTGGGGAATACGCTTTTTTGCATTGCAGCTCTTTGGCCAGCTTGACCATCCCAAACTCAGTGACCCACATCAAGGATAGTGCCTTTGGGGGTTGCCGCTCTTTGGTTGACTTAATCATCCCAGACTCGGTGACCCACATTGAGCTTGAAGCGTTTGGGTCATGCACCTCCTTGGCGAACTTGACCATCCCAAGCTCGGTGATCCGGATTGGGGATGGTGCCTTTGCAAGTTGCATTTCTTTGGTTGAGTTGACCATCCCAAAGTCTGTGACCCGCATTCAACACTCTGCCTTTCACTGTTGCGAGTCGTTGGTGAGCTTGACCATCCCAGACTCCGTGACCCAGATTGGGGAGCGCGCCTTTTCGGGTTGCAGCTCTTTGGCGAACTTGACCATCCCAAACTCTGTGACTCACATTGGAAATTGGGCCTTTGCGAGCTGCAATGCTTTGGTGAGCTTGACCATCCCCGACTCAGTGACCCACATTGGGAATGGTTCCTTTCAAAACTGCACCTCTTTGGTGAACTTGACCATGCCAAACTCCGTGACTCGCATTGGGGATTATGCCTTTGCCAGGTGCAGTGCTTTGGCGAGCTTGAGCATGCCAGATTCAGTGACCCACCTTGGGAAGAAGGTCTTTGTTGGTTGCAGCTCGCCCGTGGCGGAATGGGCTCCGTTCCAATGATGTTCATCTCAGAATCAGCTGGCAGGACCTGCAACTTCTCACCCAACAGAGGCTAAGTGACCTGAACTAGGACCCTACAGGGGTACCGAACTAGGACCGTCGAACGTTCGGTCTGAACCCCCACAAACCCCGCGACGTGACACGACGTCCAAACGACCTCGTGACACGACGAAGAACACGCTGAGATGGAGAGACGAAACACGCTGAGCGTATTTCCCCTCCGTGCCCTTGAGGAGCGGGATGAAGAGACCGGAACCCATCTGAATCTTAACCTTCCTAGCACTGACACCGGACCTAGGTCCGTCTGGAGACCTGTTGAATTAGAGGGTATATGTAGGGTAGTCGATTAGTCGAACGCCAGGACACCCAGACAGGATGACCCTGGTTTCCACGATGTCTGAAGAGAACATGCAATATAACGCAACAGATGTTCGATGTTCTTGTTGTTGAACGAGCACTTCTGGTGTGAACTACAGAGGTAATCATGGTGACATATATTGACCTCCATAGATTCGATATGATTTGATATCGCTGGTGAGTTCTTCGGTTTTGCGGGGTGTTGCGTTTGGTCTTTGGTTTCCTACGAAGAAGAGGCGGAGGCTGAAAACTCCATCATGGAGGATGTAACACGACACATGCGCCGGTCGACCGATGTGGGTTGACCTGACCATATGTATACCCATAGGTTTTGATGTCCGTGGGCCGTGACCCGTCCTCACCTTTATGTCGTGCCGGCCGTCCGCCGGCGGCTGAGCCGAGGAGGTGGGCGAGGATGCCTGGATGTACTGGGAAAGCTTCTGGGCCCCATCCGAGGAGCGACCGGAGAGTACGAGGGGCCCCGGCGGGGTGCGAAACCCGCGTTGGGTCGGAGCCATGGGGCGAAAACGGACGGACGTGGGACGGAGGTGGGACGTGGAATCCCGGTCCAGAAAAGACCATGTTTAAGTGGTCTGATGAGTTCAGGAATTTCCTGAACACCTTGGGTGGTGCCAAGAATAGTCAAATATGGACTTCCCCCAATCTGAGAACGTGCTGGGGTGGGTGCCAGCCAGTCGGGTCCAGTCATACCGAACCTCAGGAGGTACGACTGGAGCCCTATAGGGTTCATAGAGCTATAGAGCTATAGAGGATCAAAGAGGGTGAACTGACGCCAGATGAACGATCCTTTTTGGATCCTTTTGGAGAAAGGTTGTTTGGTGGATGGTTTGTTGGATGTTTGGATCCAAGGAAACGAGACACGAGACACCTGGCGCTGAAGGACATAGCCTAGCCTAGCGTCGTCACGACACCACCAGACCACACATGGAGAGCTGCGCTTCTTCTTCAGTGGCTTCGGATCGAGTCAAGCCCTGCCACCAGCCTCCAAGGAGTCACCTGGGCTGGAAAGCCGGCCCACGTCGCCCACAACTCTGCATCTCCGGAACTTGGAAAGCTCCTTATACAGACCAAATAGATAGAAAAGAGATGAAAAAGACTAGAAAATGATAGAACATGTGAAACGTACATTGTAACAACCCCTTTTAACATGTATTTGTCGACCGCTATAGGTCGGTTTGTTCGATCTGACTCCAACCCCCACGCTAGACCCGTCGTCGTTAAGACCGGTCCGCGCCAGGACGCCGCGCTGGCGCTGGAGGGCCCGGCCTTCGGTGACCGGGCTGGTGCCATGTCAGGGGCGCTCGGAGCGTGGTGCCCTCCGATCGGCGGGAGGACGCGGCGTCCCACGGGGTTGGCGGAGGGCTTCTGGAGCATCCGCCTGGGATCCGACTGAACTCTTGCGGATGTGACCGGTTGCGGGGGGTGAACCAAACGCCACGAAACCGGGGCAGGGCGTCTTCCATACACACCTGTAAAGAAGCGTAAAGGCAGCGCCATCCAACAGGTCACCAGTTGCCAGGGAATCGAAGAGTCTCCACTTGAGCCACCTGGAGCCCTGGTTGAGTCGGGTGCTGGTAGAGAGATCATGAGAGATCTACTGTACAATGATTATATAGACACTCCATGGGACTGGCATATTTACACACATTCACCCCTTTTCAACCACCCCAATGTAGGTAATGGTAGTGGTAATGGTAAAAATGCCAGTCCCATGGAGTGTTTGGGAATTATTCACAATTCATGTGTGCCAGACAGAAGGTTGGTTTAAAGGCTGGCCTGAAGAAAACTTGTTTTGGCATTCGACACGTCAGACAGCCTTGGAGTGTTGTCAGAACCGTTCCTCAGGCTGCAGCCCACCTTGCCAGCCTCGACCCTCGCCACTTGGCTGGACAAGAACTTGAAGGAAAACCTGCTCAAGTGGGGGCACACGTTCTACACTATTTCGACAGAGACTTGTAGAGGTCTGGATTTCGATGTGGCACTTCTCAACCGTGTGATCTTTTGGGTTGGCTTTGTCCATTTCTATACCCCAGACACTCCATGTATGCTGTATGCCATATATGCCTACCTTGACCCCTCAAACCACCTCAATGTAGGCATATTATATATGGCAGTCCCATGGGAGTGTCTGGGTACTACGACAATAAAACATCACGTCCACATCCACCTACCAGCAGTTCCATGTCGGATGTGCCGGTTCCGAACGAAAAAACAAGTCGGATGGTGCCCGCCCACTGCGGATGGGAGGAGCCACGGGCACCGCCCTCCATAGTAACCCACCGGTATACCCACGTTTAACTCACCCAGACGCCCAAATGGCCCTCATATGGAGGGGCCTGGGGTTTCTCTGTAACTCCTGGTAGTACCAGGCGATCCCGTCCGTTCCGTCACTGTGAGAGCGCGAAGAATGTGAGAGCGCCGGGTGGACGACGTAGCCGCGCGCCCCACAAAGGTCCATGTTTTCTTGGGCTGTTTCAAGTGAAGAGCTTGACATGACATTGGGTTATAGCTTCGGCGATGAATGTACCAGCTGCTTCCTTTCTTCGGGGTGACCAATGGACCACCCTACACACACTGCTTATGGGTCACCAGACAGGACACCCATTGGAAGTGCTTCCAGTCCAGTCTTCCGAGCGCTGCTGCTGACGTTTTGGCCGAACATGGGATGGACGTGGACGGACCGCGACATTGATTTGCGAAGTCAAGTGGAATGGAGTAAAGGTTTGATAGATCATTTTCATTTTTCATCTAAAATTGTCTTGCATGGACCATTTTGCCTTTGTAATGATTTTGTTTAAACTGAAGTCAAATTCGTCGCACTTAGGTTTCATCTCTTTACTTTCAGGTTTCAAAAACACTTGGACTGCCACTGACAGCCACACAGATCCTTTTTCAGCAAGGAATGCAAGTCAGTCTTGTGAAACTGCGGACATTGTTTCAGCTAGTTTCCGTGTCATGGTCACGCATAAACCCATGCAATTCCAACATATATGTTGTTAATTGTATTCCCCTTCAAGACACCCACTCAGTGCAGCATCAAGCCTGGCAATCTTGGAGAGAGAGCACGCCAAGTAACTAAAGGTCAACGGCACAATGATTTAAAACTAAAGAGAGATACAAAAAGCGCTGAGCGTAGTCAGAACTCTTTTAACCACCGACGGAGGGGCAGGCTGCTTGCAAACGCTTCTCCAGCGTTAGAATCTGCGCCTCCAGCTCGCTCACCGTCATGGTCTTAAAAGCTTAGATCACGCTGAAGATAACTCACCTGGTTACCTGACACTGACATAACAAGAAACAGTGCAAAAGCCTGCAGCAACAAGTGCTCATACCCATATCCAACATACACCAAGTCATACACCAAGTACTTGCGTACGAGGTACACAAGATGTAGTTCTCATGAGAGCTCTCCAATGCACCCAGGAAGCTGAAGTTTAGCTGCCACCCCAACATTAGATCTCTTCGGAGCATCGCTTTTGGCAGCAGGCATTTCCTCCTTTCCTCTCTTTGAAGAAGGCTCCGAGGACGTGTCCATGGCAACACCAGGGAGCAAACCGGATCAGCGCGTTGCATTGCATGTCGCCATCATGCCATTGATGATTGTCAATGGCAAGCAACCCCGGAACTGCACATGCGTTGAGCTATGGACCAACCACCTTCTTGAAAGACCTCTCCCCCAGTCTTTCTATAACATTGCAGGGGCGCGCGAGTCAAACATCACATGACCCTATATTCAACCAATGCATGGCACACACAGCAAGCTTCAGTGACCGTGCTGCTCGCCGCCATCGCCTCAATTGGCAACCGCACACGTTGCATTTGCTTGTCCAGACTGCGTTTTGCTAGAGTATCCAAGTGCAAAGTGGCCCACTTTCCGTTGCGCATTGCCCAGTCTCCACCGGAAGGAGGCTTCTCATTGCCCGTGCTCGATCGCTCGATCTTATGGGTCATCCACTTCAAATAGCGACCGAATGGAGCTACAGCTCATCAACTTGAAGTCCTGTTATCGCAAAAGTTTCCTTCGCAAAGACATATTCGATACCATCCTTTTAAAACAGTCTTTTGTAGACAATTTTGCTTTTGAACCTCTTCTGTAGACAATTTTGCATACCCATTTTGCCTTCATAAACTGTCTTCTGTAGACCATTTTGCCTTCAAAGCAGTCTGCAGTCTTCTGTAATTAGACATTTTTGCTTTTCTCTACGGCTTTCTGTAGACCATTTTGCCTTTAACATGGTTTTCTGTGAACAATTTTGCTTTTGAAGTTGCTTTCTATAGACAATGTTGCTTTACAGCCTTTCTTCGGCCTTCTTTAGACAATTTTGCCTTTCAAACGGTCTTCTGAAGGGACAGTTTTGCCTTTCAAACAGCCTTCTGTAGGCCACTTTGCCTTTAATAGCCGTCTTCTGTAAACAGTTGCACCTTTTTAACACGGTCTTCTGTAGACAATGTTGCCTTTAGTCGAGACAGCGCCCACAATTTTTCAGACCATCATCATTTGTTACGTTGAAGAACATGAAGTGCGGGCTCCAGATGGAATTGCGCACACGAAGCCAGCTGACATTGAAGGCAATGAAGTCCGGACTGCGGGATGGTTGCAACATATGCCCGTCCGGTCGTGCCTGGGATATACGCTTAATACCTACTACCGAGCCCCTGGATCCCAGACGTATCTCCGCGTATATTCCATGAACATTGCATGACGTCAAAAAAAGGGACTCCTGAACATCTAAACCACTGAACCACCCGTCCCCAAACAGTCCGTGACTTCACAGAGAGACCCACAGTGGCACAGCTCAGCACGAGCTCCGCCCGAGCAGAGCGGTTGAACACGCCCAGTTGGTGTCCCCCGCGAAGTCCTCCAGCATCTTGAGTCAGGAGTGTCACGACTGGAGTCAGTCGTGTTTTTTCACTAAACGCGCGCTGCGTGATGTTTGTTTGTTTGTTTGTTGGTTGGTTTTGGTTTTGGTTTTGGTTTGTTGGTTGGTTGGTTGGTTTGTTTTTTTTTTCACTCAGTCAACTGGGCTGAGGTGCATGTTTGCCAGGGTTTCCTCCACCAGGACCTTCCGTTCGTGGTGTATAAATAGCCTCTAGGAGGTTAAGGGGTGCCCAAAAAACCACCTAACTTGGAAGGTCCTGGTAGATGTCATTATGATTAAATACGTTTTTCGGGTGTTCATGACCTGAGTAGATGGCAGAAATCCTGTTGGTGATCCATGGTGGTTAAGAGCTATATAGAATATAGAGACTGGGAGTGTAAACAGGGGTGTGCAATATGTGCACATCTAAATATCCCGTTGCATGTGATTGCATGGTTGCTTTCTGTATCCCTTTTGAACTTAAAACCATGAATGTAGCACTAGATTTAGCAGGAAACTATGATGTAAAATCACATTGAATCAATAGACACACGCAAATTAGTTTTTCGATTTAACAGAGTTCCTTACTTACCAGGTGCCTTTGCCCTTTGCGCTCCAAAATGGTTCCTGACATCGCAGGTGCAGCACCAAAGCTTAACATTCAGAACTGAACAATTTGAATAAGTGCACGGTACAGGGGAATAAGTTCTGCATGTTGTGGAGATACTGCCATTATATATATCCCGAGGTTATAACGCATTTTGGCAGTACTGGGCCTTTCTTAACTTCAAGGTTTAGATATTCGCAGGTATTCCTGCGATTCTAACCTCGGTGAGCCCTGAAAATTCCAGGACCTGCCGGGCGGAGACGAACAAGATCGGATTGCAAGGGCGGCGATGAAGGACGTCTGTTTAGCAGAAAGAACCAATGCAACAGAATTTGTTTTTTTCAATAAGAACATCACTAAGATACATGAACACTCCTTCACCTGTGCCACAAATTATCACAATTTAAATTAGAGTATAAAGTTGACATGATATGGTGGAGACAAATCAGAAAGAGATGAACTACTGTATCCCTCCAACTACATCCTCAGAAGGCACCCTACAGGTCATTTCGACCTCATTTTACAGGAGTTGGTCATACAAAATCAGGTTTTCAGGACCAGGTTTTACTCAATCTGTAGGGGTAGCTGAACCTCGCTACCCCACCCCAGACACTTTCTGGGAGTCGGAGCCCTTGTTGGGCGCAGCAAAGGAAAACTCATGAACCAATTCTATCTTCCAAACACTGACATGAACATGAACAGACCAGTGAACTTCTTCTTGCTGTTCTGTTTTCCATCGGGAACTAGGATGAGAATCTTCAAGAAAGGATGAGGATCACTGGCGCCATGCCGTCAAAGCGTCGGAAGCTTTACCCAACGGGCTGCCGTTCGAATCCACTCATTCGCATCGTTTATTCGATGCCCAGACTTCTGCGATTTGACGATGTGACACCCGAATGACATCTGAAAGTCGAAAAACAGCTACCGGCACCTTCAGTTCGGGGTCACCTGGCGAACAGCCACTCCAGCCCACTACTATCCGGGCTCTTCAGCTGTTTTGCAGGACAAAGCCTACTCCATCGTCTACGAATACAACGTCCGCCTGCTCAGGCTGTTTTCAGAAGCGGTTGAGCTGAGACAGTCAGGTTCAGTATGCGGCCTCTTAGAGGTTATAGTTATATAGGGCCTAGGGGTGTCAAACCACCTGGCTTGGAGGCTTGGAAGGTCCAGGCACAACCCCCCCAACATACAGTGGCCGCAGTGTCCGCAGGCTGCAGCCAGGTTGTTTTTGTTTTTCAACTTCCCAAAAATTGTTGCTTTTGTTTTGCAGTGATGGCCCAACATCTTCTCAGAGAAAACCTGGCTCCAGGCCGCAGTCAGGTTTTTCGACTCCCGCTAACATCCTCCATGCCTCGCGATTATCTACACTGGACCTTCCGAATTTCTTGGGGTTGTCCTCTTTGAAGATCACCGATCGTGTCATGCGTGACCAGGTTGGCTGTGTTCCACAGACGTCGGCGACGTCGGCGGTGTTCAGTTGCGGCAAAATCCATCAAACACGTGGGATCCGCCATAGTTCCCAGACACGACCTGTCTGGGACTGCCAGTCCGTTCTGCCGCCCCAGAGTCTGACCCCTCTGGCAGCACCCCATCGGCCGTGAAATGAAGGCAGTCCGACATGGCAGTCCTAGACGATTCATGTGGATTCGATCCGTCCAGGGTGCATCTCTTGGTGCATCTCTTCCGGTCCGCAGCGTCTGCTGTTGGTGGAGGTGACCGTCGGACTCGAAGAGGTCAGGCGCGCGCCACCGATCGGACCCCAAAACGATGAAGCGCCAGACCGTCCATCCATAGAACCATGTCAAACCGTGGCCGCGATCGACCAAGGAATCCAAATGGGATCGGAGACTGGAACCTCAGTCCCAACCAGAAACAAATTGTTGTTCCAAAATGGCAATTGAAATCCTTTACATGGGAAATGGTTGTTTGGGGAAATATCAATTTCTTTCTGGTTGTTTGGGGTTCCAGAATTGTCCATGGGGATGTCCAGACGTTTCTGGCAAAACACTGGCCGTGTTCTGCGGCTGAAGCTTTGTTTTAAAAGTGCAGAGATTGTGTGCTCTGCACTTTGTGATCTTTGTGACAGCTGCTGGTTTGGAGGTGCCTGTTCAATTTGCTCTTCTTCGAATTCACAACCACTCCATGACTTTCATATCCATATAACATTGGGGGGGGTTGAAGAAGATCTATTCCAGTCCCATGCCAGCACCTGACTTCACTAGCTGCTTCACAGGTCATCACCTGCCACCCAAAAACACGTCTCCAGCCAACAAACACCCGGAGACCTGAGACATCTTCGTCGGGTCACCCAAAAACCCAGACGCTCCGTCGTTCACGACAGCCCTTTCCTCACCGACCGGGGATTGGTGAGAAACCCCAGGACCCCTTCTGAGGGTTCGACCCCTCCAGAGGATTCGGGTCCATGAGTGTTGTTGGTCCATCCTTGTTGGTGTTGTCCCAACTGCGGTCGGAAGCTGCGGCTCGACCTCTCCGAGGTCTGGGGAAGCGATGTCTCCCGCTCTGGCACGGGTTCCGGCCGCCCAGGTGGTCTCCGGTCCTGGCAGTGGGGAAGAAGCTTCAAGTAGCGCAGTAGTACCCCCCAAACCACCCTGGGCATGAAGGGCTTCTCAGGTACGGTGATGTGTTCGCACTGTTCTGTACCCAGCCAGTCGAGTTCGTCGTACCGAACCTGAGGTTCGGTTTGAGTGGATCCGCAGGGGATCGTACATCCATAGGATTCCAACAACCATTGATTGAATGGTCAAAACATCAAAACACATCTAAAGAACTCTTGTTTTCCTAAGGATGTTACACAAATACCATGGCAAAACCATGGGGTAAACCCTGTTTTTACCTGGTAAATCCACCATCCAAAACCAGGTCCACCAGTCAGCCCGAAGCTCGGTCAGCTCGGTTTTAGCCCTCAGGCTCGGACCTCTGGAGCCCCGAAGCCCGTCTGGCAGTGACCGCCTTGGAGGCCTTTGGACCGGTTTGGAGCGGTGGGTGCACCCCATGGGTCTCAGGCCTCAGGTTTGGTGGGATTGGGCTGGGTGCCAGGAGGGTCCAAATACCTCAGGAGGTACGACTGGAGCCCTATAGTTTTTTTTAAACATGACCCCTGCGAATTAAGAGGTCGGGAGAAGCTCCGAACTCGCCCATGGAGAGCCCGAGCTGAGCTCGGGATGTGGGAAAGGGATGTCGGAATTGCAGTTCTTGGGCAAAGGGTTAAAGCCTCCCAGACCTGGGTTTCTGCATCGGTTCTGTGGGTCAAGCCTCGTCGTCCGCGAAGTCGTCAACTTCCCGTCTTATAGTAGTCTGGTTCTACTGCGTAGCGCTTCTTCCGGTTCTACTGCATGGCGCTCTCCTGGGGCAGTGAAGGGAGGAAGGAGGGCTGCTGTGTGAATACAATTCCCTCTCTCTCTGTCTCTCTCTCTTTTCTCCCCTCTAGCCAGATCCACGTGCAAAATTGACAGAGGCATTCAAGCACTGTAAAGCGAAGCGATATGGCGAACAACCAAGAAACGACACCAACATCGATCTATTGCTCCGCTTTTTGGTGCATAGGTTTTGGTGCTCCCTCATAGCCGCCCCATTGACCCCTTTCTATATGGCACACATGGAGCGTTTGGGACTTATGTAGCTGGTGCTTGGAAGCCTTGGGTATTGCACACTCCATCCCGAAAAGGGTTCGGCCGGCCGTATATCGCGTGGAAGAACATGACTGAAGACTTGGTCGATCTCGAACCAACAGAGGTTGAATGACCTTATAAACTATCCCATAGGTACCCCAGTAGGGTCCTAGTTCAGGTCACTGGCTTCTCAGCCGCCCAGGCCGTGGTGGATGCCTTCGAGATCCGCAGCATGTTGGACTGCGCCTGTGGCGATGCCACCTGGCAGGGAGCCCAGTGCGGGGGGTGGGGTGGCGAAGCGGAAGCAGAGGAGGTCTAGACCATTCGACATGTGTCCAGACCCCAAAAAATGAGGAAGAGGTGTCCCCAGGCCCAAAAGTAAGATGTCATTTTCGCATGTGACATGCATTCACTACATTTCACAGTAAAGTCAGGTCCATCTTTGAGGTCTTTGCTTCCAATATACACACCGGGGGACCGGCACTGGCCCTTCGCAATCACGATACCTGCGCGCAGATGCGATACCTGCGCGTGCGCATGTGTGCGTTTTTTCGCAGATGGTGTGTGGTACGTGAGGTTGAGAGGTCGCTTCACGTTCGGACCCTGGTCTGTGGTACAGACCAGGTATGGGCGAAACAGTCACCGGGCTATGAAAAAACCTCTCTTGGTGTGGCTCTTCGTCCGCAGGATGGTGCCGTTCTTCGTGGCACGGCACCCGGAGATCGACTACACCGGTGTGGCCGCGTGGCCGAGTCCGCGTCAGCATCGGCCGAAGCCATGAATAGGGCCCCATTGGCTGAGAAGGTGGGTGGAAGTCGAACACAGGCTACATCAAAGAGTCGAATTATATCACGTTCAGAGGGTATGTGGATTAGGTTCAATATATGGTTCCATGATGTTCCATGTGATGATTCAGAGCCTGTTGTTTTCTTTCATTTTGTCGGGTGGTTCACGCTTTTTGACCATGTTACGATCCGTAGTTTCTCTCCCCGAATGGACCACGTATGCCAAAGGAACGGGCCAGCTTGGTTTCGAATTCTTCGATCCATTCTGCACTTGGGCATCTGGGTCAGGATGATGTGGATTGTGGTCCCAAGTCCGCCGACCCCAGCTCTCGGACAAGAAGAACGAAGCTCATAGCCTATAGCCTACTATAGCTCTCAGTCCGACTGGGGTTCTTGATGTCAGGAAATGATCTTATTAACCCATACACTCCATGTATGGTGTATAAAGGCCTACATTGACCTGTCAAACCACCCTGGCCATTTCTCGGCAGTCCGGACTGGCAGTCCCAGACGGGTCGTGTCTGGGCAATACCACGACCTGACGCGACCCCTGCCATGGAGAGCCCAAGATTAGGGTATTTCAATGTCTGATTTCGGGACCCGCTCCTTGCTCCGCTCGAGCGAGCGTTGGCTCGCTGTCTCCTCGCCCGAGCGCCCGAGACGAGCGAGCTCGCGACGGTCGCGGGTCGCCCGAGGACGTGGTGTCGGAGGTGGTCGAGCAGAACCGCCAACGGCATCCCGCGGTGAAGTTCCTAGCGCAGGAGACGACCCATATCTCGGCCCGGTCGACCGTTCGAACGGGCTGAGGGAGTGACAACGTTGCGGAAACCGGGCTGCCCTGGTGTCCAAAGGTGTCCAGTCGGATCAAGTTCAAGCTGGTCCTGAAAAGCTCATTTGAGTGGCGTTGCATGAGGTCCCGGAGCCAGTCAAATGAGGTCCGTAGTACGACCGGCCTGGAGGGAAAGGAATGAGGATGAGGATCGGATCAAGGCCTTGGACCGCCGGAAGAGAGAGAAACGACTGTCGGTTAACACCCGAAGACCCCTGAAGGTTTATTGGTGTATAGGGCATTCAAACCTATAGGCAAGCGGCAAGGAGACCTTTTTCTTGCCCCAGATCGCTACTTGGTTCTTTTTTTGTGCCTCCTGTGGTCGTTGCAAGACCCAGATCGCCTTCTTCTTCCGACTCATGTCTGTCTCCGAGCTGCTGTTCAGGTCGATTCAACTGGTGACCCTGATTGGCACCACAAATCCCTGGAAGTCCAGACGATTGTCTTAAAACGCTCTTAAAGGATCTTTAGCCAACCCAAGAACGACGATCCTTTACTTCACTTGTACAACAAAAATCATCTTTGGGCTCGAGAACCAGCACCTTCCAACAGGTCACCACGTGGTGACTTTGAAGTCTGCCAAAGTCACCAATTCGGAGACCACTTGAGGTCGTCTCCAGGGAGTTGTGCTGTCCTTGTAGAGGTCAGCGTCGTAGCCATCCTGGCTCATTCCTTCACTACGTCTGCAGCTCCGTGGGTGCAACCATGGGCAGCGAAACGATGCAGATCGAGTCGATGCAGTTGACTCGCCCCGCAGAATTGAAGCGTTTGGAAGATAAGAGCTTAGCATTGATGCCAGCGATGATCTAGATGGGTCTCCCAGCAGGTTCCAACATGTGCTGTAAAGTCTAGTATACCACCGCTGTAATATACGCAATACACCTAATTAGACATCACTTGCAGGTGCATCCATCTCACTTACTTTCCTTCACTCCTTCACTTCCCCGGCGGAAACCGCCCAACATGCTCCTCCCTTGGCTCCTCGCGCTGGCCACCGCGGCCGCGGCCGCGACCAGCGCGGCGGTCGCGCCGTGACCCTTCTGGCCGCGCTACGGCGGCGCGCGCCGCGTGGCGCTGCTGGACGGCGAGTGGCTCTTCGGCAGCTCGGAGGAGGGGAGGTGAGGTGGGGCGGTGGGGCGGGGCGGTGGGCGGTGGGCGGCTTCGAGCAGACATGGGCATGAAGGAAGCAGGTCACATGCCAGAGCAGGTCAGACTGACCTGGGTTCTTCAGCCAAATGAGAGCTCAGGTCAACAAAAGCAGGAATTTGCAGAACCACACGAGGCTCAAGTCCATGGGACTGGATTCGACCAGCTGCCACGTGGATGGGTCGCTCGAAAAGCTCGGGTATGCGAAGGTGTGTGTCCACCTGGACCTTCCAAAGTCCCTGTAAAATGCAGGTGCTGGCACTCATTCTTTCTGAAGTCTTTTTCGGAGACCCCATCGACAATCTGCTTACACTTACTTACTAGATTACTACCAGCACCCGACGATAAACAGGTCTCCGAAATGGTAGCTTTCGGAGACTTAAACGTGGACCTGGTGGTGACCTGGCAGGTCTCGGGTGCTGGTACTCTTATATTCCATCTGCTGGATGGTGTTCCAAGAGAGGTTGAGAGACCTAGGACCCTGGTTTGTGGTACCATATGGGCTTTTTCAGGCTGTTCAACCTCTCTTGGTTGGCTTCCCCAGGCTTCAACGCCTCGCCCGACTTCGACGTGTTGAAGCCCTTCGACCCCCGCGCCGCGTCCACGACGGCCGGTGCCCCGGTGCCCGGCAGCGTGGACGTGGCGCCGCCGGGAAAGCTGGGCCGGCGGGGCGTGGCGATGTACCGGACCCACTTCGTGCAGAACGGAAGGCCACCGGGGAGTGCGGAGAGGGATGGATGGTTGGTTGGATGGTTGGATGGATGGATGGATGGGAAGGTGGGTAGGTCCACTGGGCAAGTGGCATGGGTAAGTGGTTGAGGGTGAGGGTGGTGGAGGGAACGTTGTGGAACTATACGGCAAAGATGTTGGAAATGCTCACTTCCCCAAATTCCGCAAGTTCGCTTCGTTGGACTCCGCAAACCGCAAGCCGTTCACTTGCAGGTTTGCGCGTCTACAGTTCATGGGATGCTCCTTCTATTGCCGGGTCTTTGTGGACGGCGACTCGGCAGTGGGTTCCAGGCGGCAGAGGTCTTTGGACGAAGGGATGGGGGTAAAAGTGTTTTCCGACTTGGCGGATCGGGTTCTGACCTCTAGTTTGGACCACCAACTCAAATCCTATCAAAACAGAGGTCGACCAATGGGTTCCAGATGGCATGATGTTGCCCATGCATGGGGGAGTTCTATCACTTGTCAGTGACGGTTCGGCTCCCAGGCCGAGGTGGTTGCCCAGGATCCGACGTGTCCGAGGTGTCCAGAGTTTGGTCTCCCGCTCGACGCTCCGAATTCACGACGCCCGACTGCCCGGTCCCGAACCAAACCGATTGGGATTGGTGAGAAACCCCAGACCCCTATAGACCCCTGACCAGTTCGGATTCGGGTCCCAGCCCTCCATAAATCGCTCTTCCCCACCTCCCGGAACTGGGGGTCACCAGGCCACCTCAACCCAGACTGGATCTCCGGCAGACCAAAAAGCTTCAGCTCCAGGTTGAGCTGTTTTCACAAGACCAAGGCAAAGAGGTGGGTGAGCACCGCGCTGGTGGTTTCGTCCCCTGGTTCCTGGACTTGGATGCTGCTGACCTCTCCGGAACGGCGGGCGGAACCGCCTCTTCTCGAAGCCGCGAGCTGTTTCTGCTGGTGGACAACCGATTCAACGCCACGACGGCACCCATGCACACAGGCCAACCCGGCGGACCACCGTTCGCGCTTCACACCGAATCTGGCAGATCCGGAGCGAGCTCGGCCACCTGTTCGGTTTTTGGTCCGCGCGGGTAGGGGGTATATCGGTATATCCCATACACTCCATGGGACTGCCATATCCCGTATACACTCCATGGGACTGCCGTGGTGCCAGGGGGGGCCAAGGTGCTTTGGGAAGATCGGGATCGCACTGGATCTCCCAGTTCCGCCTCGCCCCAGGCGGAGACTTCTGGCACTATGGCGGCCTGGTGCGGAGCGTGCTGCTTCATGACTTGCCGGAGGATTCTCAGACGCCCTACGTGTGGCGGGCCCAGGTGCTTCCGAAGAGCTTGGATGAGGCGAGAGGATGAGGATGAATGCCCTCCGCTTCGGCTCGGGTCACGTGGGGGGATGTGTGGGTGAGACCAGTTGAAGTCCAGTTGGATCTGTAGCTCAAGACCGTCTCCCCGACTCCCAACGATGAGACAGTGAAAGTGCGGAGTACAGCTAATAGTCCAGTCGACCCGAACGCCAGTGGTGAGAGGTGTCTGCCGGATCTCCAAATACACAAAAAGCCACACCTGTAGGGGTGGTTTGGAGTCCCATCGGCCGTGGATCGTGGGCATCCTCTCAGTTCGGCATCCCAACATGTGACTCCTGGTGCTTGAGCATTTCAAAAACTGGTCGACCAGTACTTGGACCCTCCAAACCCCAAACACCTTCTCAGAGGGTACTTGGATCCTTAGGGTTTATACTTGGGTCCAGCTTCCAGGATGAGACTTATCCAAGTCATCCCAAGTCCAGGTTGGGTCTGGGCACCCCCCGCTGCACTCCTGCACTCCGGAATATTCCTGAATTATATACCTCTTCGATCCCCGATCCTGCGGGCTATTTATAGACACCCCGATCCTCGTGGGGCCGTTGGTAGAGTCCATTTCTTTGAAATCGCCATTCCTCACAAGTTGCACCTGCATCCCTTGCATGGAATAATACGGAATACTACTCTACCTCTACCTGACACCTTATAATCTATCTAGAGCAGGCCGAAAAAACAACAAAGACTATTGGAGGTTGGACAATGTTGGACATCTGGGGTCTCCAGGTGATCAATGGATCACATGTACGTTTCAACCTGCGGGTTTTTACATGGGGTCTCTTTTTGAGCCACATCCATATTCCCTGGGTTTGGCTTTTGTCGATGGTTTCTCCTTACAGATCCTTCATCTCGCCCTTGTTTCGCAAGCCGTGAAGCAGCCAAAAAAATAACGTCATGGCGGCGGACGCGCCGAGGCAGTGCAGTTTGAACTGCAGATAGAAGACAGGTGAGGTTGTCTTAAAAGAGGAGAAAAACTCTATTTCCCCACAGCCGCTCTTGCATGCTTTTGGCCACATGGACATGCGAAGATTACTTTCTTGCATAGGTGGACCCTCCAGTTCAGTTCGTGCACTAGCTAGAAGATGGGACATGATCCGAAAAAAACAAAAAACATAACCCTAAGAATCCGAGCTCGGGCTCTCCATGGCAGGGGTCGGACCTTCTCCACCGAAACGCGTCCGGGGTCCGGGCCCGAACCAGGGCCCCTATCTGTTGGTGAAGGGCCCGGATTCTTAGGGAAACACTTTTCGATCCATTTTCTGAGGTACATGGAACCGGGTCGACTCCGTCAGTTGAAGATGTTGAAAAAAACATGTTCTTTTTCAGAACGGGTGCTCCTGGGAGATGTTTTTCATGCAAAAAATGATACAAAAACACTGTGTTTTACAGTGATTTCTTGCAAAATCCTCTCCAAAATTGAGGTTTTGAGCTATTTTTTGATCAATTTTGTGAGATCCAAGCCTATCCCAATTTAGAGGGAATACCAAAAAACCAATAAACCAAAAAAACAAAAAAACCAAAAAAAACAAAAAACCAATGTTTGACACAAAATGCAGCCAACATCCAAAAACCAATAGTGACCCCATTTTGTCTCAAACATTTTTTTTTGTTTTTTTTGTTTTTTTGTTTTTTTTGTATTCCCTCTAAATTGGGATAGGCTTGGATCTCACAAAATTGCTCAAAAAATAGCTCAAAACCTCAATTTTGGAGAGGATTTTGCAAGAAATGACTGT